GGGCTGCCTCACAGGCCAGTCCCTCAGGGACCAGGAGGATCTTCTCTGTGGGAAAGAGCAGGCCTAGCTGGTGGTGAGAGAAAGACACATCACTGAGGATCCCGAGAGCAGAAGGAAGTGGCTGCAAGGAACTAGGCCCCCTGGGTGTTTTAGGGAGGTCGCAGAGGAGCTGTCTGTGCCTTTGTGATGGTGAAGAGCAGATCTATATGGTAGATGGGGTTGGTCAGTCCTGGTGGAGCTAAATCATAAACACAGGTATTCAAAAAACACTTTTACCATTGGTCAAAGAATAGTCTTATTATATATAATACATAATATAACATATATATATGTGTGTGTGTAACCAATTTTAGAGATTTAAGCAGGATATACAGTAGCAATGTGCTGTGGTTTCAGTAGGATTATCTTACTCAATTTAATGTAATCATTCATTATTAACTGGACTGTTTTAATTTTTTTTCTTCTTTTTTGTTTCCTTGCTTGCTTGTATTTTCAAGACAGGGCTTCTCTGCAAAACATCCCTGGCTATCCTGGAACTTACTCTGTAGACCAGGCTGGCCTCAAACTCAGCGCTCTGCCTGCCTCTGCCTCCTGAGTGGTGGGATTAAAGGTGTGCGCCACCAACACCAGGCCAATTTCTTATGTTTTATATTTTAGTTTTATATATTAATTTTCTATGACATTATTCAATAATCTATGCAAAACAAGAAAGGAGTTTACAAATACAAAGCATAATACAGACTAAAAACCTATATTTAAATATAAAACCATAAACTCAGTCCAAATAAATAATCTTTTATTTCATTTTTTGCCATCTCTATTTTTTCTGACAGTTTTATATAAACAAATCACAAGTCAAAACTATGATTCCCCTGCTCCAATGCTTGCCCATCATGCAGGGCTGGGAATGAACAAAGAGCATCAGGCATGCAAAACACTCTACCAGATGAGTTCTGTCCCCAGGACACTAAGTGACACATTGATGCTCTAAATGCCACTTTGGTCCTTATTTCATCAAAGACATTTGGACCATAAACTGTCTCAAGTAAGACTCACATCCCTCAGCTCATGATATAGCAGAAAGTCATGCAAATTTTGTTCTCCTCTGCCAATGAAAACCAGCCCTGACCCTACAGCTCTGACAGAGGCACTCAGCTCTGGACTCACAGGTCCTCCCATTCTGTGCTCATCACTGAACAGTCAACACTCAGCATGGAGGTAAGACTGAGCTGGGTTTTCCTTGTGGTTCTGTTCAAAGGTAATTTATACATAAGGAGAGATACTGTGTGAGTGGACAGGAGTGAGAGGGACAGTGGACCTTTGTGAGAGTTTACTCACACAATAAATTCTCTTTTCACAGGTGTCCAGTGTGAGGTGAAGCTGGTGGAGTCTGGGGGAGGCTTGGTGCAGCCTGGAAAGTCCCTGAAACTCTCCTGTGCAGCCTCTGGATTCACCTCCAGTGACCACTGGATGAACTGGGTCTGCCAGGCTCCAGGCAAGGGGCTGGAGTGGGTTGCTGTAATTAAACACAAACCTAATAACTATG